GCTGGGAGGGGGTGGAGACTTAGGGGTGGGGTCTTCGGTGTCAGGTGCCCTTGAGGGTTCAGGGACCCATCTGCTCCTCTCTCTCCTGCTCTCCGAGATGAGGCGGGCAGCTCTGCTCCATCTGGAGCTCTCCCCTGTGAGGGCCCACACCAGGCCAAAACCAACAGTACCAGGCGGTGGTGTGTGCCAGCAGGCGTGTCATACACCTGGGCCATCTGCTCTTCCCGTGGGTGAACACCCTGGCTCGCCTGCAGCTGCTGGAGGGGCGTTGCCGAGCTCCAGGGGGGGACAGGCACAGCCCCAGCGCCCCGCAGCGTAGTGGCCCTCGTCCAGGAGGCCGTGTGGCCCAAGGAGCTTGGGTGGCACTAACGTGTGTCACCGTGGTTAGGAAGTGATGAGCTCTGCCTTTGTCTTTGATATAATTATGTCCACTTGCATAATCTTGGCCTCAACAGCTGTGTGTCACCACCGCTCAGCAAAAGCCTTGGCTCCCATAGCCTGAGCAAGCCCGTTCTGGCCCATGCTGGCCTCCTTCACACACGGGCTTGGGGTCCAGATGCCGGGAGGACCAAGAGGGCAAGGAACAACCGGGGTGATGGGTGCCGCCTGGGAAACGCCATCTGCTGGGCGGCCCTGACCCCTGCTGTTTCTGCTCCAGCAGCTGAAACCCAGGCACACTTTGGGGTCGCCCCTCTGTACTCCCAGAGAGCACACGTCCGCCCCAACGGGGGAGCGCTGACCCCCAGTGCCACTCACTGTGTTCCCAGGAGCCACTGGCCCAGCCCTTGCCCCATGCCTGGGACCAGCAGAGCCCAGGGGCACCCGGGTCCTCCCTCCTGCACCCCCACAGTGACAGCAGCCTTTAGCCCGGCCTGGGGACCCAGGACTCAGGCTCCACCCAAATCCTCTGCAGAGCTCAGCGTGGAACAGAGCAGCCGAGTCCACAGAAGAAAGGTCAGGGAGCAGATCTATGTGTGGACACAGCGTGAGTGCCACTAATTGACGTCAAAGCACTTTGCAGGTGTGTTCGTCTCCTGGTGGGAGAACAAAGCTGTCACAACCAGGACAATTTCACTCAATATCGGTGCAATTACCAAACTGAAAATAGGACAGAAGGGAGATTTTCCCTGGGCAGCTGAGCTCTGTCAACCCCATGATCCTGTGGCTGGGACCGTGGCCCAGGATGGAGGGAGTGGAGGAAGGAAGCCATGCTGCTCTGCTGCTGTGGGGAGCTCCTGCAGCTCGGGAAGGGATGCTGCTGTGTGCGGACTGCGCCATCCGAGGACACTTGCTGAGACAGCCTTGCCCAGCTGGCTCTGTAATCACAGCACCCCAAGGGGCCACACAGCTGAGCCCTCTGACCACACATGCCCAGCTGCTGCCGAGAGACCCCTACGGCCAGCGACGCCCTCGCCAGGGACGGCCGCTCTCCTGGTGTCAGTCAGCGTCCTCTGTCCTGTCCCATCAACCTCCCGGAGCTACATGCCTGACCGAGGAGGCAGCACTCCCGGCTGCAGGCGTCCATGGCTCCCGAGCACCTCAACCGATTGTGGGCCACCCTTTATTGTGGACAGACAGCTTAGAAATTAAGAGGCAACCAGAGAGGGACGGCCCCCGGAGTCAGGGCAGAAGACCAGACATCAAAACTGTGGCTGGGGAGGAACCCGAAGAGAAGCAGGCCTGCAGCCTCCCTGGAGCAGACGGCAGCGTGCGACCGCACTGCATGAGCACCACCTGCGAGCGAGCCTAGGTAAGACGTCAGATGCACAGTGAGGACCGGGACATCCTGCCCTGCCCCTTCCCTGAGACGCTTTTTTGCTCTTTCTATGTTGGGAGTCACAGGTAAGCTGAAGTGAGTGATGCTCGCACACCCCGCTCCGTGCTGCGCCTCCCTCTCAGATAGCTATCAGCAACCCCACAGGCCGGCCTCAGCCTGGCCCAGAGTGGCCTGAGATGTGCTCGCCTTCCTGTGTAAAGCCCGACAAAGAGACACGGCGCAGCCCACCTCAGGCCCCTCCCTTCTCTCGAGACTTTCTCTTAACCTCCTTTGTGCACCCTTCAGGTGCTGGGCATGAGCTCACCACATCTGACCTCCACCTACTTATGACCCTCGTCTCTGCAACCTCGTCTTCACCCCCAAACCTCTCCCTGAGATTTCAAGTTCACTGATGTGGAAACAACTCCAGACACACTCAGCCACCTCATCCTTGACAAAGGAGCCAACCACCCTCACTGGAGGAAAGACAGCCTCTTTGATAAACGGGGTTGGAAAAACTGGATTTCAGCCTGCCAAAGATTCAAACTAGACCCATATCTATCACCATGCATTAAACTGAAATCCAAATGGATTAAAGATCTAAATATTAAGACAGAAACACTAAATTTGCTGGAAGGTAAGTTAGGTAGAACTCTTGAAGACATTGGCATAGGAAACGACTTTATGAACAAAACCTCAGTAGCATGGGAGCTAGCACAAAGAGTCAACAACTGGGATCTCATCTTATTAAAAAGCTTCTGCACTGCAAGAGAAACCACCAGCAGAACTAAGAAATAACCTACAATATGGGAAAAAAATTTTACCAGCTGTTCCTCAGACAAAGGTCTACTATCTAGAATATATAAAGAACTCAAAAAAATTAGACCCCTCAAATATAAAGACCCAATTCAAAAATGGGCATCTGAAGTGAACAGACATTTCTCAAAGAAGTAAAAGCAGCAAATAAATATATGAGAAAATGTTCAATATCACTGGTCATTCGAGAGATGCAGATGAAGACAACACTGAGATTCCACCTCACCCCACAAAGAATGGCTGCTATCAAGAAATCAACCAGTAACAAATGCTGGCGGGGTGTGGGGAGAAAGGAACCCTTCTCCCTTGTTGGTGGGGGTGCAGACTGGTGGAACCACTGTGGAAATCCATATGGAGAGACCTCAAAGAACTAGGACTACAGGTCCCATTTGACCCAGCTATTCCCCTGCTGGGTATCTTCCCAAAAGAATTAAAAGAATCATACCACAGCGATATATGTGCACCCGTGTTTATAGCGGCACAGTTTGTAATAGCTAAAGCTTGGAAGCAGCCCAAGTGCCCATCAACTGGAGACTGGATAAAGAAGATGTGGTTTTTTAATAAAATGGAGTATTACTCAGCCATAAAGAACGAGAAACTAGAGACATTTATAGCTAAGTGGATGCATATTGAGGCCCTACTCTTAAGTGAAATAAACAGGACAGCATGTGTAAATACTGAATAGTTTCTCTGGTGTGAAAAACTAAAAGTGTAAATAAGGATTAAAATGTATAATAGATAATGTGAAATAGAAAGAAAAGGTCTAAAGGAGCAGGGGAAGTGGGAGGGGAAGGGGACAGAAAAGAAGGGAAAAGAAAAAATATGAGAAGAGGAAAAAATGGAAACAAAGTCTCTGCAAATAGGGAAGGGAGGAGGGGGTGAAGGGAGGGCAGGGGAATGGGGAAAAATGAGAGCCAAGATGCATCATGTACAGGTACAAGATCCCAGTGATGAATGCAACTGTATTGTAGACCTAAAATGGACCAATAAACTTAATGGAAAAAAAAGAGAGACATTAAAAATTCACTCACTCCCACCAGGTGCCAGGGGGCAGAGAAATGCTGGCTGCCTCTCTCCCACTGCCACGAGCGGCCCCGGGCTCTGGCAGCCCACCCGAGAGACCCTCCCTCCACAAGATGACCGCGCCCCAAGACTTCCCCTAAACTTCTGGCTCTATAATCCCTCTTCAGGCAGTGCCGCCATTCGCGCTGCAGCAGGACCCTGAGCTGCTCAGGGGGCTTTCAGAGTGAGGCAAAGGACGTGGGTTAAAGTCAGGTGTGTGGGTTCAAACGCAGGTCTGCAACTGCCGTGGGGCCGCAGGGAGGTCCTCACCCCTCACCCCTCACCGAGCCTTGTTTCCTCCCTTACAACAAAGGGAAAAGGAGCGAGGAGGGTCCCAAGAGGTGTGGAAGCAACCTGTGAGCAGTGTGTAAACTCGAATCAACACCATTCACCACAAGGGACAGCGCGGACTGAAGCTGACCGCACCAACAGGAAGCCCTCGGAAGGCGGAGTTGCCGTCCACCCTTCGCTTGTAAGTCTGCATCTCCGATCCCATTCCCGCAGTCTGGCACTTGCATCCTTGTTAGAGGCCACCCCCAGCCCGCTGGGAAGGAGGCGAGGAATGGAAAAAGAGCAGCCTCTCCGCCTTGGCCACATCAGGGAGCCAGGGTCAGGCCTGCTGGTTCCGGGGTGAAGGTGACTGAGGACTGGAGCCAGTGGGGCCGGGTGGCCCTGAGAGTGCTCCAGGACCCACAGCAGTCACCTGTCAGGAGCCAGGGCGTCCGGAGAGGACCTGCACCTGCTCTGAAACACCACAGCACACTCTCCACTCTGGCTCAGACCCTCGCCTCAGCACCAGAAGCCTGCATTTGGTTTTCTGTAGAATTTTTAGAAGCACTGAACCTTGTTGAAACCACTTTTTCCACCGCCCCCTCTGCTCACCATATGCAGTGAGTCCCATCCGGGCAGGGTTGAACTGAAGGGGCCCAGAGGGGAGACTGGCACGCCCCACGAACCCCCGCCCGGCTGAGTCGTGGTCTCCCCACCGCAGCTGGTGCATAGTGAGCAGCACTGGTCTGTCTCAGCCAGAGTCAGGGGAACAAGGTCAGCACCACTGTGCCTGATTCAAACAGCAGAACAAGCTCAGCTTATCACTGTTTACACTCTGCACACCGCACCCACCCCAAATGGAGAGAACCCCACGAGGAAGATTCTAAACTCGCCGAAGTCTCCACTGAACTAAGCAGCAGGTGCAGTTACGTGGTCTGCTCCAGGCGGCCACTGTGTGGGGTTCGCCGGGCTGCGAACTGCTCTGGGATTTTTACGAAAAGGCAGCTCTAAAGCTGGCTGGCTGGTTTGTTACTCTGATGGTTTTGGCGACAGCAGAATACACCTTGAGAAGTTAAAGGACAAATACCTGAATGTGTCAAAAATATTTTTTAAATTCCATTTTCCCTTGTTTGCCTCCCCAGCTTGCCCGGCGATACTGGCCAGGACTCTGTGCCAATACGCTGCCCCAAAGCTGCTCCAGAAGCCACCTCCACACCCAGCAGAGGGACACAGACTCTGGGCAGTGCCCTGGCCAGCCACCCACATCCCAGCCCTGCACAGAGGCCAGGCCGGGCCACAGCTAGGAGGAATCGAGCATCCCTAGTGGCCCACGGCATCCCCAGTGTCCTCCAGCCCTGGGCACGCACACAGCTTCGGCTGGCGTCGGTCCTTGCCAGGCCCCTTCCCGCCTCCACTTGTTCCCAGGGCCAGGAGCTCTTCGACAGTGGTGGATTCGGGAAGTAGCAATTGTGGCTTGGTGGAGCTCAGTGTCTGTCCCCTACTTCCAGGGCCCCACAGTGTGGGATGTGAGTGCAGACTGATGCACAGGGGACAGCAGATGGCCACAGCGCCCCAGGCCACTGCTGCACTGTCCTAGTCGCTGCCTGCCCAGCCTTCTCCTTGAGCCCCTCTCTGGCCCAGCTCCGGTCACCAGTGGAAGCGGACTCCGGCCTCCACCTCCTCGTTGTCTCTGCAGCGTCCCACTCTGGAGTTAGGAGCTCACCAACGCGGAGATCATGCTGGTGAGAAAGGGAGAGGGGCTCAGTGGGAGCCCGTGTGAGCTGGTGCCCGGGAGAGGCTGGCAAAGGCTCGCCTCGGGCGTCTCCCTGGGCCCTGTCCTGGGCCTCCCTGCCAGCCCCTTCTGCTTCCTACGCTGAAGTGGGCACTGCATGCCATGGCCTTGGGAGCGGCGACTGCCCCAAGCACCCACTCCCACTCTCTTCTCAGCTCCTGACGATCCAGGTGCTCACACCTGGCCCTGCTGGGGTCCTCGTGGCGGGGATGTGGGCGAGGTCTTCGGCAAGCCCCTGGGAATAGCAACCCCGTGACTTCCCAGAGGCTGCCCTGGCCTGCTGCGCTCAGGACTCCAGGCCTTGGGAGTGCCGGGAGCGGGACCTGGGCAGAGCCCGGGAGGGGCCAGGCACTGCGCTTGTAGGGGACTCTGAGCTGTGGCGTCCAGAGACTGCTGGGTCAGGAGCCAGGAGCCCATCTGTCCGACAGGGAGCAGGGAGTCAGGGTCCGATCCCAGGCCTGCTCACCCCACAGCTGCGCCTGTCCCGGGAGAGGAGCCGGCCCCAAGCCTGTCTCTGCTCCTTCCCTCTCGTTTACTCTTCCTTCACCTCTACCTAGCGAGCGCCTCCTGCAGGCCCGGCCCGGCCCTGGCCCAGTGTGACAGGCTGCCTGCCGCGGTGCTCACCAGTACAGGTAGTAGAAGAAGGAGAGCAGGTAGAAGGCCAGTTTGCACCAGGCCTCCTTCTGGCAGTAACTCAGGGTGTCCGCGTTCATGACCACCAGTGGGTCATAGGCCAGCTCTGGGCCGTCGGCCGGGCAGTGGAAGTACCTGCAGGGACAGAGGACATGCGTGCCACGCCGGCCAGGCCAGGCCATCCGGGCCGCACAGCCGGGCCCCCTCCTGCCTGGGTTGCGGCAGGCACCACTCCCGGGCTCTGCACCCGTGCAGGCACACGTCCTTGAGTCAGAGCCACGGGCATCATATGCCCCGATTCGGGAGAGAAGGGAAGTGCAGCCCCTGGCAGCCCCTGGTGATCCAAGGAGGTGCCAGGAAGATGTCAGTGAGGTGGGGGCCGGGAGCCGCACGGCCGTGACGTCTTTGTGCCCGTATTCCTCCTGAGACTGGTGACTTAGGGTTAGGTCGGCCTCTGCCCGGCCCTCTGGGCAGTGAGTCCCTGAATCCCACAGGAGCACGGCTGCATTTCCAGGGCCCTCTTTTCCTGCTCAGAGGGACCCAGGGCCTCCACAGGGAGTGGGACAGAGGAGGCCACGGCCACATCCTTCTCACCATCGGCGAACCAGGCAGGACAGCCACGTGCCAGGAATGCTGGCGCCGGAGCAGCGACTGCAGCCTGGAGGACCCATCCTCCACCCTGGCCGGGACATTGCCCAGGGCTCAGCCTCCTGCGATGGCCCCATGAGGTGAGCGGTTCCTCTGCCGCAGGCCCCCGCCAGGACAGAACGCCTCACCACAGGCCCAACCCGCACGGGTGGAGGCTCCAGGCGCAAGTGACCCTTTCCCCTCTTCCAGCAGGCATTTTGTTGCAGGAGTAGAAAGCTGACAGCTCACACACAGTGGAGCTACACAGCCAAGTCACACCCCTCCCTCCAGGCCTCGGGCTGCTTCTGCCCTCTGTGCTTGGTCAATCGCACTGCCACCTCCCGCCCTGGCGAAGGCTCCCTGCCCATCACCCCCTGCACCCAAGGCCAGTCCTGTGATGCACCATTCCCGCCTGGGCTACCCGGGCCGGGCTGCCCTCTCCCTACCTGGACTCCACTGTGACCCCAGGGTCCTCTCTTAAAGTCAGAGCCGCTGTGCGGCTTTGCTCCTCCACCCCTTCCATAGCTCCCCATTCCCTACAGAGCTCATCACTGCCAACTCCTCCACAGACAGATGCCGTGGTCCCCGTAAGATTCCCACCATCCCTGCAGCTGTCTTCTCCCTGCTCTGAGAACCTGGATGCCACGGCCCTGGACACACGCTGCTCCCACGCACCCCGGTGTCCCTCGCCCCGGGCCCTCAGCTGCATGCACGTTATGGCCACACGTGTGCGTGTCCAGCACTCTGCGGGCTGGTGTATGCTCTACTCCCTGCACCCCCGGTGGACAGTGCCTGTCCATCCCGCAGGAGTCCATTTCCCTTGCACTGGGTGCCCCTCGGGGAAAGGGTCAAGTTTACACGTGGTTTTCTTCTTGGATCCTCCCACCTGGCCTAGCAGGTGGTACGTTTGCCACATGTTTTAGTGAGACGCCCTAGATGTGGCTAAACAAAGGCTTTGTTCCACGGCAAAATAACAATGAGGAGAGGGTTCGGTGGCTGGAGTTCCGGCCCAAGGGGACCAGTTACATCCCCACTGCTTCTGTCCCCTACCCAGCTCCTGCACCGCCCGGAGAGGGTATTTTATAACAAGTCCACATCTCTCAATCCTACAAGTGGTCTTAGCAGGGAATAGAACGACCCAGAAAACCCAGCCCATCTGCTAAGTGCTTTTTAAAATTAAGATATAACTTACAGGCCACAGAATTCGCCCTTCCAAAGGACACGACTTGGTGAGTGTTAGTACATTTCCAGAGTTGTGCAACCATCATGCTACCCAGTTCCAGAACATTCCCTCACCCAAAAGAAAACTGCAAAATTAACACCCACCCCATTCTGCTCCCTCCCAGCCCCTGGCAACCATTGCTTTGCCTTCTGTCTCCCTGGGTTTGCCTGCTGTGCGCGTCTCACGTGTGGAATGACGCAGCATGCGACCATTGTGTCTGGCTTCTTCAACTGGTGTTTCCAGCCACGTGCAGCGTGAATCCACCCTTCATTCCTTCTCAGGGCCACTGCGTAGGTGGATGCACTCCGTTGGTTCTGTCACCCATCCTCCAGCTGAGGGGACTGGGCTGCTCCCCGCTGCTCAGCCCTGTGGCTGCTCTCACTCGACCCCCCCCCCCGGCCGGCCCCCCTTGTGGGAGGAGCCCCAGGCCAACGGTGTGGGCGGGGCTTGCAGAGGGGTCCCACAGGGAGGGCCAGGAGGGGCTAGTGTCGCTCTGTCTGGCCCCTCCCCATCCTGCAGACTCACCTCCAGAAGTGGTAGAAGAGCAGGGGCACGTTCAGGCCGAGGGTGAGCCACTCCTGAGCACACAGGAACATGACACAGAAGAGGCTGTGGATGGAGTACTCGGGCAGCACCAGCTGGGGAGAGCAGACAGCGTCGGGTGACAGCGACAGCGCACGCGCACGGCCCTGGGGCCCTGCCCGCTGAGCCCCACCCGCAGGCCCAGGCCAGGGTGCACTGGAAGAGAAGCCACAGCGGCCCAGGACAGTGCGGGCGGGGCACTGGGCGCCAGCCCGGAAGCTGCACGCCCAGACGGCCGCAGGGGAAGCTGGCGGCCGCAGCCAGCAAGTGCACTGGTGGGGAAGGCATCCTGCGACCACAAGAACACGAGCCACTTTGCTTACAGCGCGGGACACGTGGGGCCTCCATGACCATAGGTCTCACATCTGCGAGATGTGGAACATAAACAGAAAGAGCCTCGTGTCTGCAGAAAACACGCAAGGGGTTCCTTCTTGTTCCCCAAACGACACAGACTGACAACGATTTACTGAGCGTTTACACTGCATTTGATAGTGCACGAAATCCAGAGAGGGAGGAACCGCGTGCGCGACACGGCGTTTTCTGCAAGGGACTTGGGCACCTGTGTACCCTCAGTACCCACAGGGCTCCCGACCAGTCCCCCTGGACTCAAGGCAAGACTGCACGGCCTGTCACGCGCACACACGTGTGCATTGTGGGTGGAAACACAGCCTCTGCGTGCTGAGCAGACCACCATGCACGCCTGGTCCCTCTGTCGAGACCTAACCGCCTCAAGGCCTTCTCAGCTACCTTCCCCCTGCCTTTCGAGGTCCGGGTCTCCAGCAGAGGCCCCACGAACAGTCAACGCGCAGAGGGACGGCGCCTGGGTCCCAGGGCCCCAGGTGGAGGCTGCTCCGCCCACCTCCTCCAGTCCCCCTTTACCCCACTGTCCAGTCTGGCAGGGTGTAGCTCCGCCTCAACAAACCGCTGGGCCAGCCCACCCCGTCACCTTTCACAGCTGCTTTCCTCAGCATCAAGGCGCTGGGATTGCAGGACACCCAGCTCGATGAGCCCACTCGGGAGGAGGTGAGAACAAAGCGGTCTCCCCACTACCGTGGCCAATTCTCCACCTCCCGAATGCCACAATTTATGAACACTCAAGGGTCCACTCCTTTTCTCCTTCCTTGAATTCAGAGCAGGGAGTGAGAATCCTATTCAGAACAGAGAGCCATTCGGTGAGGGGAGGCAGAGGCAGGCATGTTCCAGACCCCGAGGGTGAGGGTCAAGGTCCAAGGAGCCTGTGGAGGGGCTGAAGGGCCCCTCGCTAGTGGCCCCAGAGCACTGAGGGGACACTGTGGGTGGGGACCCGCACAGAGTCCGTTGCAGCAGGGCAGAGGGGCCGAGCAGGACGCAGCAGGGAGGGAGGCTGACTCTGCTGCAGGGCAGGGGGTGGAGGCACAGGCCACTCCCGAGGGGCCTCGCCGCCTCTCAGGAGCCTGTGACATGGTCACTTGTTTCTGCACATCCTGCAGACAGAAACGGCACGGAAGATGGAGCTCCTTCCGCTGGCCTCTTCCCTGCTGAGGACCAGCTGCTGATTTCACCTGGCCAGAGAGGGGCCAAGGAGCCCCCAACGCCTCCGCAAGGGATGCTCAGCGAGGTCCCCACAGACAGCTAATGCTGGCGCCTCGCCGTCCTCACAGCCCTGAGGGCTCGGAAGGAGGCTCGATGCCCCAGGCCTGGGCACCGGGCAGTGACCCACGAGGTCCTGGGGCCCGAGCGAGCAGGGCCGGGAGCAGGAGGGACAGCGCTGTCATCTTCTCCAGAAGCCTCCTCTGCTCCGCCCAGTCCCTCCGCTCTGCACAGCCCCTTCCTCCCTTCCTGGGCCGCAGGACCCTCCAGACAGCACCTTTGCCTCCCACACCTCTGCTCCTGCTCCCAGGGCACCTCCCAGCCCCAGCCACTCCGTCCCCAGGTGGGGACCCCATTTGTCCCTGGGTGCACCAAGATGACTGCAGGAGGAGAAATAAACCCTGGGCTCGCAGAGACAGTGAGGACCAAGCCGAGACACAGCGGGGCCCCCGACTCCCGGGCCTCGCCTGCTTCCAGGAACAGGGGAGAAGCAGACGGGGAGTAAGGCCCATGGAGAGAGCAGGGAGACGCAGGCAGCAGCACAGCACCAGGCTTCTCCTCGACCGTGGCTTGTGTCCTCGGAGGGGGCTGCTACAAGGAGCAGGCACCCATCACCACCCGGGGTGACAGGAGCCTGGGCTGGCCTGAGCCCAAACACCGGCCTGAGTCTCCTGTGACCACTGGCAGGGGACATCTGGCGGGCAGGCCGTCCATGCACAGCCTGGGGACAGCAGTGACTCCAGCAGCCCCAGGCCTCTCCGGAGGGCATCACATGTCTGAAGGAGTGAACGACGGCAGCACTGAGGACTCAGAGCGACATGCTCCCCACCAGCCACCTGGGCAGCAGGCACTGCCGGCCCCAGACCACTGCCTGCACCAGGTACAGGACGTAGTGTCCTTCCACACACACAGTGCTGCAGAGGGTTCTCAGGGTCCCAGCTCTGCGACGCTGGCAGACAGCTCCTCCCTCCTCCCCTCAGCCGCTGGCATCCTCCCCTGCCAATGAGAAGTCTGTCCAGGAAACTGATTCTGCAGGAGCTTTCGCCAAGGGACAGGGAGGGAGCAGGATGGCTCGTGACGTACAGCTGCACATCTAACTGAGGCGAGCTCATGGGAGAATGTGGAACACACGGGCCAAAGCCAGTGTTCTGCCGACCGCTGTCCTGCAGACCTGCTCACTTAGCCCGCTCATTCCCGGAGTCCTGGGCTGCTGTCCAGAGTGCCTCTTCCTCCTTATTCATGTCAAACACTCCTGACCAGGGGCGCCCCACAGACACACATCCTCCGTCTCTCAGACCAGGGAAAAGTCACGCTCAGATTGGAGGAACCGAGCTGCGGAGCCGAGCACAACAGCAGGACTCCACGCCGGTGAGGAGCCGGGAGGGCTTTTCCCTGCCTCCCGGAAGCCCGGCAAGGGTGACGGAGACAGAGACAGAGACAGAGACAGCCCCATTCGGTGCCAGGACTCCTGCGGAGGGAGGTGTGGCTGCAAGTCCCACTGATGGTGCAGGGACAGGACAAGACCCTAGGCCCGCAGCCGCCTGCAACTCAGCCAGGACGGTCGCCGCCTGCCTACTCCGGCAGCTGTGGGGATCAGGGGATGGACCCAGTCACACGTGCGTGCCGCAGCGAGGCACACGGGGCTGCAGGTCTGTGCCACGCTGGGGACCCAGCAGACCGGCCACGGCCAGCAGAGCCCCACGTGGGTCTCGCAGATAGATAGATGCTTCCCCGCCTGGTTCCTCAGTGAGCATGAGACCAGAGAGCGTCCTGGTTTAAACAGCCATCTGCGAGGGGAGGGTCCGGCAACGTGTGCCCAGCTCCAGGACCGCTCTGCCTGAGCTCAGAACCAGCGCGATCCGGAGAGAGGGCTCCGGCAGGGCAGGCTGAGCACACTGGGGCTCCCGGAGGTGAGGGGCTCGGCCGCTGCACTGAGCCCCTCCATGGACCCATCACGCAGGCCACTGCTGGATCATGGCCTCCGCTAGACAGCCTGAAAGTGTGGCGACCTCAGCTGAAGCTCTCAGAGCTGCCACTGGTTTCCAGAGCAACCCCAGGATGAGTTTCTGGGAGAGCTGGAATGCCTTATTTTAACAACACCAGCTGATGATCAGAGAGCCGCATCGAAGGAACCAAGTAATAACGCACACATGAAAACTCTCGCCAACATGAGCATCCCAAAGTGGAAGTAATTCAATCTGCAAGGAATATTTTGACCCTGGAAGCAAAAAGATTTCCATTGACTCCCCAGAGTCTAATTATCTCCTGCACCTTGCACAAAATGCTGGGATTGAAGGGGTCCTTTTCCCCTCGAGTTTCCCTCAACCCCTACTGCACTGTCTGCTCGGGTGGGCCTTCTAGCCTCACATACTCACACACAAACACACACACGCACAATGCACACACCGAGTCTGAGAAACACCCCACCTGGGACCTGAAAGAAGGGAACTTCATGGCACCACCTCACCTTCGGGAAGAGGACAGTCTCGGAGGAAATGGGAGAGACACCCAAATACCATGACAGAAGCAGCACGAGACCTCAGGCTGTGGCCACAGGGTCCCTGGTGTGCCTGCCCCAGAGCTGCTGCCCATGAGATGACAAAACTGCGGTGTCCAAGCCACCCAGATGTTAAATGCTGAGCATGCGTGGCCAGGATGCAGTCAGGGACTGGGCTGAGAGGAAGGTCCTCCTCTGGCTGCAATGGCCCAAGTTCAAGCGGGATGAAACAGAGTCACGGCCGGGGACAGATGGGCCTTGGCTCATCAGGCCAGGAGGAGTCCTGAGCCCCAGTGACCTGCAGAGCAGGCCGAGCAGGATGAGTCAGGAGCATCAGGACAAACGGATCAGCAGGAAGGAAACTGCTGGCTCAAGAGGTGAAAAGACTTAAAAATCTAAATTGGTAGCAGCAGAAATGAAGACAGAAGAGATGAAGAAACATTATTTCATGTGTTCAAATACTGCTTTGTCTCAAAGCGGGCTGTAGGTAGCTCACAATGTGCTGCTAATTAAGCATGACATTTGTCTCCATACAGCTATATTTAGTAATACCTAAGATCACATTAATGCGCTTGTTTTAAAACACTTTCCCCTGGGTTTGTTCCATTTCCTACACTGGAGAAGATGTGGTTTTATAGACACATATCTGTACAGGGCCTGGTGTGCTGGAACCATCCAGCCCCAAGGGGGTCCTGTGATGAAAAATGACAAACATGCAACCAGGATGTCAGCTTGCGGGGTGACGGTGGGAACCCCAGTGCAGGGGAGGAGCTGGAGTTGGTCTGCTGGGTCCTGGACGAGGCCAGGGCAGAGCGCTGAGAGCAAACCAGACACACAGCTGCAGTCCTCACTGCTCCCGGGCTGCAGGGGACAAGCAAGCACCCCGTCAAACGCTGCAACACACACACAGTCCCTTCAGAGCTGGGACAGCTGTGCTTGAAGTACTCTATCAACATCTAAACGACGAAGCTGGCGCTGCCCTAGTCAGAA